CTCCACCCCCACCACCTCCAGCTCCCCCTCCACCACCAATGCCTCCACCAGCACCACCGCCTACACCACCTCCAGCTCCAAACCCACCACCCTGACCAGAACCACCACCAATCCCTCCACCTCCTCCACCACCAAACCCTCCTCCACCACCGCGTCCAAACCGGCCACGTCCACCACACCTCCGCCCCCACCTACAATCATTGTCTCTATACCTCTCAGGGCCAACCACAGATCCATCTCCAAGAACACACTCAACACCCAAATTAAGCAAAACCAAAGAAAGAACCAAACAAGTAACACTCTTAAGCTCCATCTCTTTGTATGTGTCTCTCTTGTCGTGTCTCACTCACTGGAACTGAACATTCCCTTATATAGGGAGATAAATGAAATCTTCAAAGCTCTAAAAAAACAAGCAAGTGGGACGAAGAAGCCATTAATATGCATCCCCATGCATGTTACGTTCTACGCGTTTGGGGCCGTTGAGCCATTGGAGGGAAACATTTAATGAAATTTTTTGCTTTCTATGCTACTAAGTCAAAATAGATCTACACAACTTATTTAGTTCATAAGACTTTTCAATAGGTTTCGATCTATCTATAGTTTTTTGCTCATTTAATTACTTTCCATTATTATCCAATACTTGTTGATATTTTCAAACCACATCACATCCGCATATATCACCATCATATGCTAGAGATTTGACAATACTTATTTGTTCTAGTCTCTCTACTTTGACGTTGACCCTTAATAATATTATTCGAACCGGATAAAACCGATATCTTGGTGTTCGGTTTGGCTTCGGTTATGGCGGTTGAATTATTGGCAGAAAAAGAAAAATTCAGAAGACCAAAATAATTAGGTTATTTATGTAAACCAATTTTTTCATTTTTTTAATATTTTTTAAACAATATAACCAAAATTTACATCTAAAATAATTGAATTACCCGAAATAATCAAATTTGAAACAACCAAGACATTTGAAAAAAAAAACAGAAGTTTATCTTTACATAACCGGAAAACTAGTTTAAAAAAAAAAACCAAAATAACCGAACTGAAATAACCAAATTAACCAAAGTCCTAGTGCTACGTAATGCATAATTTACTTTTTACCATTATTTTGGAAATTTTTACCAATATGGTTGTACTAATAAATATTTGTTCTAGTCTCTACTTTTCTATGTTGTGTTTTTAAATTTTGTTTTCTTAGAGCATGATTATCAAGGGGTTTTAACAAAATCTTAAGTTAAGAAAAGTACAAAAAAACTAAGAAAAGTGATTAAATATCTCTTATACAAGAGACATAAACTAACTTTTCTTACCTTTTCTTAACTTTTTTTAGCTTAAGATTTATTTAAGAACCCCTTGTTAATGATGGTCTAACTAGTGCTCAGTATTTTACACTCACATTTACCATGGGTAGAAGACTAGAAGTATTAAACCTATGAAAAAAAAAAATTTAGAACAAGTAGTGAGAGTCAACGGTACCGACAAAAGTCAACGGTGAAAATGTAGATAGCAAAATCAAGTTGGCTCACATGGAATTGTAAGTACATTGTCTAAACCTTACTATATACGTATTTAATGTCTAGTATCTCCCCAACTAATACCACCAATCGATATCCACTTAATCATATATCTAATTGTATATACATGTATGCTTAAATACTTAATGATACTTCACATCTTGAATAATAAAGAAAACTTCTTGTGATGGTTTAGCTCAACTTATTTATCCGGAAGTGTAAATCATAAAATACAAATCCGAGTTTGAGTTCTATATACTGGTTTGGCTTGGCACACGTTTTATATAGAGATTAAGGATCAATTAGGATTTAATTTTTCTAGTTTTAAAAAGTTAAGAGACATATCTTTAATATGATCGAACAATTAGGTGCTCGTGTAGGCTCAGAGGGAATTTTGGTATCGTCTCTATTAGGGTCACCTTCTACTACTAAACCATTTGGCAACTTGGAAGATAAAAAAGCCTAAAATGAGAATTATTGATGTACTTCTCAATAGGATACATTTTGTAATTAAATAAATTTATTCAATTATTTATAGTCTTCTAAATCTTATGATTACATAATATGAACATCTACAAAACAGAGATGTAATGAGCACATGCCAAGTAAAAGTTTTTGAATCGAACCTGAGTTTATAAAATCAACCCAAAAAAAATATTATTCTTTCAAGATTAAGGTTAAAAAAATGCCAATGAGAATTAACGTGAATATATATAGAATATGATATTATCTATTTTAATTAATAAATGTTTATGTATGTTTTTTTTTTGTAAGCGTTTGCGAGAAAAAAACTTTTGAAATTCTTAGTTTGTCCAAAAAAAAAAAAAAAAACTTTTGAAATTGAACGATTTCGAGAGGTTTAGAGCGGTAGAACCAATCAAGTTCTAAACCTAATACATCATTTAAAAAGTTTGAAAACATTGCAATATAAGATATGTTTATAAGATTGTACAAGGCTAGCATCAAATCCATATCAGATAAAATTTATTTGGTGTTTTCTTCTTATACTAGTTTAGTACCCGTCCGATGGACGGGTTAATTTTATTTAAAATTAAATTAAAATTAAAATTTATTATCACTTAAAAAAATAATTTCCAATTTTTTTTTGAAAAAATAAGAGAAATTATTTTCATTTGGAAAGAGATTTTATTTGGTTTGAAGTATCAAATAAATGTGTATATATATCTTAAATTGGTTATTAAACGTTAATTATAAAAATCAAGTAATGTCAAACTGACAATCACCAAAACATTTGGGAACTATTCGCCATTATTCATAATATTGCTAAAATATTTTAAAAAATCTTATTTTAGCAATTATCCTCTAAAAATGATTATACCATTTTGTAAAAATTGTTATTTCTTAACTTTCAATTTTTCAAAAAATCATTCTCAGACTATGAAAATTAATTAATTATTATTTAATATGATGGTAAATTTCTTTCAAATTAACATCAATCTAAAATATGATGTTAAATACAAATATAGTCATTTGTAAAGAAGTTCATATAAACAACGCAAATAAACATAAAGATTCTAAAATAAATTATAGCATCGTTGAGGAAAACATTAAAAAATCTTTCATATTCGAATTATAAAAAACTACAAATTTTTAAAAATATATATATTTTCAAATTACTATATTATAAATTATATTGAACTTTTGTTATCTTTAATTTAAGCTAAAAAAATATTATTTTCGAAATATTTTATTCACCCTAATGTTTTAGACAATGAAATTGCTATCCATTTTTAAAAATACCCTTTTTTAAAAATACACCAATTTTCTATCCATTTTTAAAAATACCTTTTTCAAATATGAAAAATTGTAAACTTTTATATAGTTTATAAGGTACATCTAAATCATCAGTACTATTGGGAGACTCAATACAAATATTTATAAAATTTTAAAAGGTTCTAAACGGCATGTAAGACTTTTATAAGGTTTTTATAAGGTTTACAAAGTTTTTATATGGCTTTTAAATAATATTCAAAAGATATTTATGTAGTATTTATGAAATATAGATATAAATTTACACACATATAAAGATAATTTGTATCTATATACATAAGCTTACACATATTTTTTTGATAAATATCAATTTTTTTTACTTTTAAATTTATCAAAAATACAATTTTCCAGTACGACTTTTTAAAAGTACCCCTATTTCAAACTTCATCAAACCAACCACTAAAAATATTGAAACTTATCCAAATATGTGTGTAAACTTATAAATATACAAACAAATTATCTTTTTTTATGTATAAACTTTTATATATCTTTCATAAATAGCGTAAAATAACTTATAAATACCTTTTAAAAACTTTTTCAAAACCTTTTAAACCTTTTTAAAAACCTTATAAAACTTGTAAAAAAGATTTAAAACCTTTTAAAACATTAGAAAATATTTGTATCAAATTCTAAGTAGTAGTTATTATATAGAAGTACCTTATAAACCATATAAAAGTTTATAATTTTTCATATTTAAACAGGGATATTTTTGAAAATGGATAGATAAAGGGGGTATTTTTTGAAAAGGGGTACACCAAAAGGGGTATTTCTTAAAAGTTCTCTTTAATTTTTTAAAATTATTTTATCTATTTTATTTTTAATATTTTTTTAAAATCTATTTTATCTTAATATTAAGAAAATTAGATATATCATGTTGCAACATCTTATGTTTTACTTGACACTTATCATGATCACGTGAGTTAGTAAATTTAAAAACCAAGTTTCGACATATAATCTCGTTTAATTGTTAAACTTTAACCATAATTTTAATTTACAAAGATAGAGCTTAATTCTCATTTATCATTTATATACCCAAAGCAACAAATAACATGTTTTGATTGTAAAATTAAAGTTTAAACCTTAATCCTCTTTTGTAAACAAAAACTGACATATATTCTTGTTAATTATAATTTTTAAATCCCTATCGTATTAATAAACCAAATTGACATAACTGAAATTAGGTTATTTGTTTAATTTTATTAATAATTTCTTAATATATAATTTTTTATAATATTTATTTTATATATTTCTTTTTTCGATAGGGTTAATAATATTTCTATTTTATCTAAATATTAACAAAATTAGAATCGACACGTGTCAACATCTTATTGTTTATAATTGACACATGTTACGATCTTGTTAATGGCTGACTTTGAAAACCAAGGTTTATATAATAAGATATAGGAAAAATCACATTTTTAACCGTCACCAAAACTTCAAAATATCACTGATTAGCACTTTAAACCTCAAAAATAAAAAATCTTTAGCATGTGATTTTACTAACACTTGATACCTTAAAACTTGCTTCTATGTTTGCACTGCCGTAAAAATGATGAATAGTAATTTTCGTCCAACACAAAATATTTAAATTATGTATGTTTAATTAAATTTTAAATTAATACTTTATTTATCGATTACTCACCGTCTGACCACAAACCTTACAGAAATTATATTCATTTCATAGTTTTTTTTCATTTTTCTCGTAGACACAATGCATCTCCACTGTGTTTTGATTCAAATCGATTGATTTCTCTTCAGAAACCAGAAAAAACATCCGCATCTTAATCGGTTAAAGATGTAATATTACCTATATACATATTTTTGGAAGATTCTTTGATTTCTAATGAGAAATTAATCAGTTTGAATCATAATTTGTGGAGATAGATATATAGTGGCGGATCTACCTTAGATGAAGGTGGGGTAACTGCCACATACACATTTTAGAAAACCTTTTTTGTAATACCAACATGTTAGATGATAATTCTGTTTATACTACAATTTTTACAATAAAAAAGTGTATGTGCCCCACTCAAAATATAATTCTACATACGCCACTATATATAACATCGGAATGTGAGTAGTCGTAATAGTTGAAGTTTTTCTCAAAACGATAAAACTATTAAATTTTAAAGTAAACAAATATAATTTAACTATTTTATGTTGGCAAACAAAACTATTTATTTTATGGCAATCCAAATATAAAAGCTAATTTTAAGGTTTAAAGTGTTT